GAGGGGAAGGAGAGTGCATCTACATACCCTTGTAGATCGCTAAGCGGAAGCGTTCAAGAGAACGGGGTTGAAGGAGTCGTACTCGTCGTGATTCAAATCACCGGAGATCCTAGTGCCGAACGGACGGCACCTCCGCGTTCAACACACGTACAGCCCGGTGACGTCTCCCATGCCTTGATCCAGCAAGGAGAGAGGGAGAGGTTGAGGAAGACACCATCCAGCAGCAGCACAACGGCGTGGTGGTGATGGAGGAGCGTGGCAATCCTGCAGGGCTTCGCCAAGCACCGCGGGAGAGGAGGAGTAAGAGAGGTAGGGCTGCGCCAATAGAGGGAGAAACTCATGTGTTGGGCAGCCCCCAGGCCTCAAGTATTTATAGAGGGAGGGGAGGGGGCTGCGCCCCCTCTAGGGTTCCCTCCCCAAGGGTGGCGGCAGCCCCCAGATGCCATCTGGGTGGCGGCCGGAGGGGGAGAGAGGGGAGGCGCGCCTGGGGTGGGCCTTAGGGCCCATCTGCCCTAGGGTTTGCCCCCTCCCACTCTCCCTTGCGCCTTGGGCCCCTTGTGGGGGGCGCACCAGCCCACCTGGGGCTGGTTCCCTCCCACACTTGGCCCATGCAGCCCTCCGGGGTTGGTGGCCCCACTTGGTGGACCCTCGGGACCCTCCCGGTGGTCCCGGTACGTTACCGGAAAAACCCGAAACTTTTTCGGTGACCAAAACAGGACTTCCCATATATAAATCTTTACCTCCGGACCATTCCGGAACTCCTCGTGACGTCCGGGATCTCATCCGGGACTCCGAACAACATTCGGTAACCACATACAAACTTCCTTTATAACCCTAGCGTCATCGAACCTTAAGTGTGTAGACCCTACGGGTTCGGGAGACATGTAGACATGACCGAGACGTTCTCCGGTCAATAACCAACAGCGGGATCTGGATACCCATGTTGGCTCCCACATGTTCCACGATGATCTCATCGGATGAACCACGATGTCGAGGACTCAATCGATCCCGTATACAATTCCCTTTGTCTAGCGGTATTGAACTTGCCCGAGATTCAATCGTGGGTATCCTGATACCTTGTTCAATCTCGTTACCGGCAAGTCTCTTTACTCGTTCCGTAACACATCATCCCGTGATCAACCCCTTGGTCACATTGTGCACATTATGATGATGTCCTACCGAGTGGGCCCAGAGATACCTCTCCGTTTACCGGAGTGACAAATCCCAGTCTCGATTCGTGCCAACCCAACAGACACTTTCGGAGATACCTGTAGTGTACCTTTATATCCACCCAGTTACGTTGTGACGTTTGGTACACCCAAAGCATTCCTACGGTATCCGGGAGTTGCACAATCTCATGGTCTAAGGAAATGATACTTGACATTAGAAAAGCTTTAGCATACGAACTACGATCTTTGTGCTAGGCTTAGGATTGGGTCTTGTCCATCACATCATTCTCCTAATGATGTGATCCCATTATCAACGACATCTTAATGTCCATGGTTAGGAAACCGTAACCATCTATTGATCAACGAGCTAGTCAACTAGAGGCTTACTAGGGACATGGTGTTGTCTATGTATCCACACATGTATCTGTGTTTCCTATCAATACAATTATAGCATGGATAATAAACGATTATCATGAACAAGGAAATATAATAATAACTAATTTATTATTGCCTCTAGGGCATATTTCCAACGACGCCTTGCCTAGTAGACTTGCTCGTAGGCAACGTCCTCTGGGTGGCGCCGGCGCCACTCCGCCATGACCCGCTCGTCCTCCTGGGCGACGAGGAGGCGGCGCTGCCGCTCGGCGTGCTCCGCACGGTCTTGTGCCGTGTTCAGACGAGGCGGCGGGGCGACGTCGAGCGCCTGCTGGAGCGTGTACACATCTTGGAAGTTCATCTGGCCGCGCGGCCGGCCTAGGCGCCACGCCGCCGCGTCGTACGCGCGGGCGGCCTTGCGCGCCGTCCCGTATGTGCCGACTTGCGTCGATCGTGCCCACCGCAAACGACCACCGGGCGCCTGTCATCGTCACCATCTGGACCCGCTCCACCGCAGTTCCGACTTCAAAGCAACCAAGCAACCCACGGAAGAGCAACTCAGACACGCCGGGAAGAACCGACTACCAAAGTCCACGCCACGACCCGAGCTCCTCTCGACACCATCATCATTGCCAAACAGAAACCAGCGCCCCGCCTCAGCAAACCACGCGGCGAAGATGCTGCCATCCACGGCGAAGATGCCACAGTCCACTAGTCTCCCAGTCGTAGCCGGCTCCGAAACGATGCCCCCAAGGAGGAGAAAGACGCGAAGACGCCTCCATCGCCCGATCCAGCAGATCTGAGATTTCCCTCTAGAGACAAAGCCGTGGGTAGGAGGAGCACACCTCCACGACGACGCTTTCAAGAAAGCTCACGGCACCCGCAGGCGCCGCCGTCGCCGGCTCCGATGAAGACCGGAGCAAGGATTTCTCCCGGAGATGACCACCTGCAACCACCGACCTCCGCCCACCAATCACCACCCCTGTTGAGGCCGATCTCACCCTGGCCACGGGATCCCACGATCCACCGCGCCCAGGCACGCACCACCCCCTGGCCGTAGCCGCCGTCCACCACGGTAGCACCACCGTGACCACCTTCACCACAGCCACCAAAGTCGCATCGCGAAGTGCAGCAACCAGATCGAAGAACTAGCTTAGCTCAGATCCAAATCGGAGCTGCATGAACGGAGCCGCAGAGCATACGTGCAGCTCGTCCCTCCGCAGCGCACCTCGCGCTCCAGAGCCACACCCGCCACGCCCAGCCAGTCGCCACGCCCGCCGCACGCCAGCCGCTGCCGCACCCCACGCACGCACCCGAAGTCGTCCGCCGCCGCGCGCACGTACGCCGTCCACGCCCAGGCCACGCCGGAGCCCGGACGGAGGCCGCCGTCCCAGCTCCCCATCCGCCGCCCGCAACCGACGCCAGCACCATACGCCGTCCGCCATCCGTCGCCCGCCACTGCAAGATCTCCCCCTCACGAGCGACGCCACGGGAAGAAGAGGTCCCGCCGCCGCCGGATTCGCGCAGGCTTCGGCCGGCGGAGCCCACCGGCGACGGCAAGGGGAGGGGAGTGAGGAGGGGGTCCGGTGGAGGTGCGCTTGAGCCGCCGCCGGTGTCGCCCCGGGGAGGGAGCGACGCGAGGGCCTTTCCTTTTTTATAGACATTTTTTAGATTGTAGATATACTCATTGTTGCTTCGTATGTAGTCTGCACTGGAATTGTTTTTGATTTTTTAAGAAGACTTACATTTAGAAACAGAGCAAGTATATGTCAGTGCACATTGCTTGCAGAAATATGAAATATTGCAGGAGCATGCCTGTCTGGCTCCACCATATATTCGTCAGCAACCTGGATCGATCAAAGGGTTGCCATGCCAGATGCCACATGGAGATGGACTAACGTCGGCACGCTTGGGCGTCTCCCGGCGCGTACGTGTGTCCTCGTGCCCCACAACCACAAGATACAACGAACCCAGAAAATTATTCGAAGCCAAAGTTGGTCGCACGCAGGATTAGCCCGCCCTACCACCGTTGGAGGAGGTTCCGGAAGGTTCCTGCGGGGGGTTTGGTGCCAATCCACCCATACGAATGATCATGCCGTGGACGACCGAGCGGTCGACCCGCAGCGGCAGAGACCACATACACAGATACTAATAGTACGTCCGAGCGCAGCTGGAGAACCTTTGCTTTTCCGCCGGACCAGAGGAATGTTCGCCGCGTGTCGGCCGGCGAGGTGGACGACGAGCATCGCGCGCTCGCGCTCCACGAATTCGATCGCCCCGCCGCTCGTGGCCTCAGTTGCACGTAGTACTAGTCCGCGATTGATCACCGATCGACCCTCATGGTGGCCTCCATCTCCGTTGCGGTCCACATGTTATACATTTGGAATGATCGAGAAGGCGTCGATTCCCGGCCGAGGATACCCGTTTTGCACCGCGCGAGTGAATGTGGCCAGCAGCAAAAGAATAAAAAACGCAAGGAAAAACAGCATGGGTTATAATACAATGCGTGGCGTGAGACGGCCTGCACCACCAACACAACGCATTTTCACCTACCTGGCTACTTGCAACATGCCGTCACAACCCGAAAGAACGATACGGATGGCGAAGTTTGTGTAAAAAATTTCGAAGGAGCCGGGAATTCAACGCACTACCACGTACCACCCCATGGCAGAGCTTCCTTGCTTGTACGACGGGCTAAAGAATCAGCGGCGGCACCGGAACCCGACAAAGCAAGGCCACGAACGACCGACCGAGCCCCGACAGCGACGGGATGGCCGGCGTGGGCGCCAGGCGCAAACTAGTCTAGAGTACGTACTTCGAGGGGGACGAGGTTTCGTGGCCACGGATGGCTCTACGCTTGCCCTCGGCGCATCCCGCCGATGGCGACCGCGCTCCGGCCCCATGCCCCAACTCGCGGCTCACGTCGGCCCTCGCGGGGCGCCATGGGCCCGCGCCCGTCGCGGTTGATCAACCGCAGCCACTTGTGCGGGTCGACGGCGGAGTGCGCCACCAGGTGTCGACCGCGCAGCGGGCGACCACATGGCCACCGCTCATGGGGAGCCATCGGTGGATGGGCAGGTGAGGGCGCGAGGCCGCTGACACCGGGCCCGGTGCGAATCGCGGGAGCGGCCGGGACGGCCTCGCACCCTCCACGTCGCGGCGATCGGGGCGAGGATCGGACGCCGCTCGCGGCTTGCAGCCATGACCACGCAAACTGCACGTGTACGATACGGGGGGACGTGGGGAGCGGAAAAGATCTCACCAGCGAGCGGCCACCTCGCGGGATAGCTAGCTAGCTCGGTCGTCTTTAAATACGCGCCCCGGCGAGGAGAAGCACACCACGCTGCCTCGCCGTCGTCCGTCGTCGATCTCGTCTCTCCCGGCTGCAAGTCTAGAAGAGCGCGCGACGCAACCTCACCTCACCCTACGTGCGAGAGAGTGCTGAAGCTGGCGGAGATGTGTGGCGCGACGGCAAGGTGCGCGCTGTGCGGCGCGCCGGCGGACGTGCACTGCGCGGCCGACGCGGCGTTCCTCTGCGCGCCCTGCGACGCCAGGGTCCACGGCGCCAACTTCCTCGCCTCCCGCCACCGCCGCACGCGCGTCTACGCGCACAAGGCTGCGACGGAGGAGGAGGAGGCCCTGTCCGGGATGACCACGTCCAGCTCCTGCGTGTCCACCGCCGACTCCGCCACAACGGCGACGACGGCGGCGCCGCTGGGGCGGAGGCCCAAGATCAGGAGCAGCCCCCGCGCGCGGGGTGAGGAGGTGCTCGAGGGGTGGGCCAAGAAGATGGGCCTTCCGGCGGCGGTGGCGCGCAGGCGCGCCGCGGCGGCCGCGCGCACGCTCCGGGCCGTGGCCGCGGCGCCGAGGAGGGTGCCGCTGCGCGTCGCGATGGCGGCCGCGCTGTGCCTGGAGGTGATGGCGGCTCACGTCGGCGGCGCCCACGAGGCCGGCGACGCGCTACGGCGGCTGGAGGCGTGCGCGCACGTGCCGGCGAGGGTGCTCGTGGAGGTGGCTTCGTCCATGGGCCGCGCGCGCGCCAGCAGACCGGCCGCCGCCGCCGTGGACGCCGAGGAGGGCTGGGGCGAGTGCCCGTGAGGCAACGCAGGATCTTCTCCAACAACACATGACCCGTAACTCATGAGAAGGCGGCTAATTAAGCTTTCTTGTTCGTTAATTTGGTAGTAGTAGTAGTAGTATATTTCTAGAGAGTTGAGTAAAAGTTGATCAAATCTTGTTGTTAGTTAGAAGGATAGTACTAGTAGTACGATGTAATCCAAATGGATGGTGTCAGCCATGGCAGTAAAGTGGATCACATGTTGTTCAGTACTAATACTTCTTAGCAATTTAGCTGGACTGATTAGGCTTTTGAATTAGTTATGGATCTCTCAACACTATGTAGAATGGTTTATATACTCTCAACAATATGTAGAATGGTTTATATACTCTCAACAATATGTAGAATGCTTTATGCATGTAACTATTGTCAATTTTTCGCGGGGATATCGTTCATTCTATTTGCGAGGATACAAACCATGGTTCATCATCTAGAACAAGTTGCAAACCATTGTGGGAGGCAGGCAGGCATCATCAATGGGATGTGAAGACTAACTAGATTCAATTTTTTAGAAAACAGCACCCACAATACAAGTATGAAATAGACATCCATGATGAATCAAATGATTCTGATTTGATATTGCGGATGTTAATATTATTCTCTATAATTTTGGTCAAACACAAATAGGATTGATTCTTGAAAAAATTATGCACATTGCATTTGGAACCAAGGGAGCAAATTCAATCATGGTGAGTCATGCCATCATGGTAATCTCGTTTGTTAAATTGACCTTGCAAATTTCATTATTGACATTGTGATTGAGTAATACAAGTATTTCTCCCGCAAAAAAGAAAACCCAGTTATACACGACGGCGGCTTAGGATGTCTGCATTGCTAACCTTCAAATTGTACACCGTATCTGTCCGAGGACCGATGAACATCAGTATACGGACAATGATATAGGAGCCAAGCGGCTTAGGGTATCTTCATTGGTGACCTTCAAATTGTACACTGTATCCCTCCACGGATCGATGAAGCCTAGTCTATGGGCAATGATACAGGAGCCAACCACCCAACCGTGGCCGCATCAATTTAGTTTCAAAATAGATTTTAACAAATCTGACGAATTCCATTAAACAAAATAGAATTCAGCAAAGTTCAGACATAATTTAAATAAAATGGATGGTATTTCATCCATTTCACCAAACCAAGCCTGTAACACTCAAAGTAATTATAGAAGAAGCACAATTCATCCGTAAATAGAATACAAATACCTCTAGTACAATAATAGTTCAAAATCAACGTGATAACTGGGATATTCGAAAAGTTTTTTTCTTCCAAATTCATCGATTCCAAATTGAACGATAATAGAACTAGAGCCGACACATGTCGTCCCACATAGGCTGACTTTGCCCTTCATCAAACAATGTATGTGCGTGAATGGCCTGCCTTCGGTCCTATAGTGCATCATGATAGAGCGTGCATACTTACAATGTGTAAAGGAACATTGATTGAATGAATAAATAAACCAACATGTAGAGCAACAAGAAGCAAAACTTATGGTCTCCATGGTTGACGTGCCCAATGTCCGCATTATCTCCACTCGTTTAACCGCGTCGCATAACTTCATGACGGAGTTGCAAATGGTGTAGCATCAACCGCAATATCTACCTCACATTGCGTTTATGGATGATCTACATGTCATAGGACGCGGAGTGATTTTGCACATGAAACGGATCATCGTGCACACACTGACAAAAGACCAAGCACCTTAAGTTCCTGCCTACAAATGCCCGCAGATATGGCCAACCATGCATCACACAACAATCCATCCTCCTTGCCGAGCACCCCACTACCGTGCTTACTCTAGAAAACAACAAGAAGTTCAAAAGGCTCAATGGCATTCGACCGAACACCTGCCGGGCGTGGTGTCCGCCATGGATGTCATCCACAAGGAGCGGAAGGTACCTGGCTGCAGAGGGATTCTGGGTGGACGACGACATAGTCCAAGGAGAGTATGCACGTTGGTGGGGGTAGCAGACGTCCTACAATGCCTGGGCGGCAACTGGAGAGGTACAACGACGATGTCGGACAAGGAGGGCCTGGATACAAATATGGTGGATGCGGAGGGTGTCGACGGTGCCATGGACAATGAGCTTTATTATTGATGTGATGGACCCATCCAAAGTGTCTAACAGCTTAAATAAAAGAAGTTTGCGCGCATGAGGACATGGTGGCGAATCCAAGGGTTTCCAGCTATTTAGTATAGATAGCAATCCCTAACTTGCAAATTGTGGTTCAAGGTCCTCATGAAGAAATCATGGATATGAATGGGAATACCATGTATGATATTGAACAACAGATTCGTCATGATTCCCACCACTTCTTCGGTTTCAGAATTGTGGCCCTCGATTGGACTAACGGTTTTGGCCAGAATGCAATATACAGTCCGAGGTACATATAGAAATTCCACACCAGAATTGTGGTTCTTCGAGCATCTCCTTCAGCTTGCGGTTCCATTAACACTTGCATCACGTGATTTGGAAGTTCAGGTTCTTCATAAACGTGTGTTGCATTCTCTTGATGGGGATTAACTGGGAGTGCTCGACGCATTTCACTGGCTGGAGCTTTATAATGTGTGTTTTCTGAAATCTAGTCCAGAGCCAGGAGTGAATATCCTCAACTTCACCTGATAGATGCAATGTTGCATAGAGTTGAAGAATCAGCTCTTCATTCAATTCAAAGGCGTCAGAGCATAGGCTTAGTAACCCGACATCATGAAGAATAGACAACACCGGAATTGACACCATATCCACACGAGGAATATGGCGATGCGGGAAAACCTCATTCCTCTCAAATAGCAGGCACACATAGAAATTCATCTGCGTTGTAGTCCAGAAGTGCTGACGCCTTATTTTAGCTGAATCATTTGGTGATGCGCCAGTCAAGAAATTCTTCTCCTCGAAGAAATCATCATTGTTGAACTTGGGTGTCCCGACGCCTTTGCCAAGCTTAGGCATTGCAGGCTTGGGTTAAAGATTTACCTTGTTAGGCTTTACATAAAAATGGGTCAAGGAGAGCTAGTGGAGTAATTCTTATCTGTAATTGCATCAGATTTTGCAATTTCCTCAGTTTTCGCTAGTGGAACAGTCTTTGTATCAGTGAAATGCACAGATCCATCAGGCCGATGGGAATGACGTTCAACTTCAACAATGTGCTCTTGCTACACCATTTCTTCAGTTGATGCAGCCGACATTTCTTCAACAATGGTTTGAAGAGGTGTGAGACGCTCTTCAGCACCAGTGGGAATATCTTCAGTCCTTGTAGGCGACTAAGGGTCTTGCATTAGAGGTGTGGTGATGGGTGAATTTGGGTGAGATACTTCCCAAAATTCATCATGGATAAGGGGTGTAGTAGAGCCATCAATATCCACATCCTCTTCAGTTTCTTCATTTCCAGCACTTTTAACAGACAACACGGGCGGAGGCGATGATACCATTAGAGGGGACAATTGCTTCAACCTCAATCTCTTCATCCATCTGCTCTGGGTAGCAGCAGAATGGGTGTCTCCTTCCTCATCATCATATGGGACAACATATTCTTCTCCAAATGGCACAATCTACAGATTTGTGAAGATTTGGGTTGGGGTCGCTGAGGCCAATGGTGGTGCATCAATAGGCCGAGTTGAAGATAATGGATCTGTCTTCAACTTCTTCACAATTTCACTAGTAGATGGAGCTAAAGCTTTTCTCTTATTCACAACTTCTTTCTCAGCAGCCTTGGTATTCTTCGCTTCTAATACAGAAGGAAGTGCGTTTTTCTTAAATTTTGAAGAATTTGATTGAGCTGACGATGAGGATAATGATGGAGAAATTTCTTCAAGCGCGACTGATGCAGTCACCCTGGCACTTTCTCAGGCACGATAGTTTTGGATGCCCTTATAGTTTCTTCAGGCTGTGATGCAGATGCACTGGCTCGAGGAATTTGTGGTTGTGCTGAGGAACTATTTGAGGAGCTTGACCATGTTTAGCAGCTTCACGTCTGTTCTGATCGTCAACCGCCTACTTGGTTTGTGCGATGAATCTGTCACGCACACCACATAAGTGACCGGCTTGGCATTCATATTCATCACTAAGCTGCTGAATCTCAGCCTGCATAGAAATGAGTTGTTGACATGTGATAGTGAACATGTTAGACTTTAGCTCTTTCTACTTCTGAAGATGCTGCTTCCTCATAAGCTTGGCATGATTAACCTTGTTTCTCATTCAAGATGAATGCAAACAACACATTACTAGGACCGGGAGGCAGGTCAACATCATCAATCAAAGTGTCTGGCTTCTGGCACCAAAATACCAATGAAGTCAAGAATCTTCTTTGGATCCAGCAGAAGATGTACTGAAGAATTCTTGGCAATAGCAGCTTGCTCAACTTTTCTTCTAATGAGTTCAGCAAGCTCATCTTCATCGGCCTCATCATTTTTGCCAGCCTGAGGCGCTACAACCTTACTCTTTGGATTGGGCCTTGTTCCGTGGCCAGCAGTGGCCTTCATCATTAGCTTGGGGGCATTTGTGGAAGTTTGCCCACTCGCTGAGGTAGTTGGTGCAACCTCTCAGGAAATTGTAATGCCAGTTGTGCACTGACATGAAGCAAGCACAACAGAGGTTGGGGCTTTTGCTAAAGCCTTTGAAGAACTTACTACAGGCGGAGGAGCTGAAGATTTTGCGGCAGCTGAAGCACTTGGAGCTAAAGGCTTCTGCGTTGAGGGCTTTGGCTTTTCAGCCGACTTCTTTGGCATTACCTTCTTAGGGCCACTTGATCGTCTAACATCTGAAGGTAATGTATGATACTATTCTCAAGCTCGCTGGGCATCCCTTACCCAAAAAATGTTGGATTTGGATACATTTACCCACTGGTGTAGAGACGTCCTATACAAATGGTTTTTACCCCCATTCCGCAATGGAGTTTTAAACCATCGCCTTGTCTGTGTGTGCGATAGGGTGCTCTGATACGTCTCCAACGTATCTATCAGTTTGATTGTTCC